GCGCCGGAAAAACGGGGGGGGGGGGGGGGGAAACGGGGCGGCTTTGAACCAAGGGGGCCCCAAAAGGAAATTCCTTTTAAACATGAGTTGTGTTTTTGTTTGGCACTTCTTGGGAAGCTCCAAGGAAAGCTCATCCATTGTTTGACAGCCCTGTTTAGATCCTAGTTGAGCTACAACCGAAACCTGGGCAGAGGAAGTGGTGCCCGGCAGCAAAAAACATTGGCTGCGAATCTTCGCCTGGGCGAAACATCTAGCCGTTTGGAGGCTTCATGGAAAACCACTTCCTGCCCGTGGGATGCGATAACTATCATGTTGTTGTAGATGTCTCTGCTTTTTGTCGGGTTTGCCAGGGATTGTGACCCAGTTGGATGGCAACCAATGAGTTTGCTTTCCCTCGAATATTGGAAGTGGAGAGGTTGGCGAAGAGGGATCCACATTCAGCGTTTTCGGGGTATTGGGCATTGTCTCAAAGCTTATTCTAGGGTGGTTGCCCCATAGCGCCCTTGCGGGCAGCCAGTGTTGTGAAAAAGAAGGACTAACATGGCGTGCAGCAGTCAGCTTCATGTTGATTTACCGCGGTGTTCGGTTCAATGCCCAAAGTCGAGAGTGAATGGAAAACGTGCATTTTTCATGCAAGTACAAGTTCAAGTAGAGCTTGAAGCCATGGTCGTATATCCTGACGTGCAGCTCATAGACATGCATTGCTGCAGTGATTTCCAGCCGGGGGATTCTGATTATGTTTCGAAGCATGAGACAACCTCCAGGTTCTTAGGACCTCAGAGATTCTGCAGGTATCTTACGTTTCCAGAAGGTACCCAGCGATGTTCCCTTTGGTTTCCGCACAAACCAACCCACAAAGGGTTCACACACGAACAAACACACACACACACACACACACACACACAGACACAGACACAGACACAGACACAGACACAGACACAGACACAGACACAGACACAGACACAGACACAGACACAGACACAGACACAGACACAGACACAGACACAGACAGACACAGACACAGACACAGACACAGACACAGACACAGACACAGACACAGACACAGACACAGACACAGACACAGACACAGACACAGACACAGACACAGACACAGACACAGACACAGACACAGACACAGACACAGACACAGACACAGACACAGACACAGACACAGACACAGACACAGACACAGACACAGACACAGACACAGACACAGACACAGACACAGACACAGACACAGACACAGACACAGACACAGACACAGACACAGACACAGACACAGACACAGACACAGACACAGACACAGACACACAGACACAGACACAGACACAGACACAGACACAGACACAGACACAGACACAGACACAGACACAGACACAGACACAGACACAGACACAGACACAGACACAGACACAGACACAGACACAGACACAGACACAGACACAGACACAGACACAGACACAGACACAGACACAGACACAGACACAGACACAGACACAGACACAGACACAGACACAGACACAGACACAGACACAGACACAGACACAGACACAGACACAGACACAGACACACAGACACAGACACAGACACAGACACAGACACAGACACAGACACAGACACAGACACAGACACAGACACAGACACAGACACAGACACAGACACAGACACAGACACAGACACAGACACAGACACAGACACAGACACAGACACAGACACAGACACAGACACAGACACAGACACACACACACACACACAGACACACACAGACACACACACACACAGACACACACAGACACACAGACAGACACACACACACAGACACACACACACACACACACACACACACACACACACACACACACACACACACACACCAGCGCGCCCGCCCGCATGCAGGCACGGGCGCCCGCGTGCGCACGCGCACGCCTATCACGGACACACAGAGACAGACGGACACACATACACACATGTGCTTATTTCAAGGTCTCTGCTCTTGTCGGATGTGCGAGGTTAGGCCATGATTTCTCCAGCCAGACCCCGTTCGCAGTGAATCAAGTTTCGTCAAGTCTCCACACTTCACATACATATTAGGCTGCAGATGCTGTAGTGGATCAACGCATCTCCTTCTCCGCACTTTCAAAGTGAGCACTATTTTGGAAGCAGTTGCCCAGGCTGGCCCTGAGAATACCTACCTGGTGATGGACCTATTCGAGCCGCGATCTTTTTTTTGGGCCTTTGCCAGAGGTACGTTGATCTTGGCAGGGCCCAACATGGGAACCTGGGTACAGAAAACATTAACCCGCATGAGCGCAGCCACTCAACGCCATTTACAGAAGCGTGAGATTGCGCCTCGCCAAAGCGTCAGCTAGCTCGGCGGTAGCCTACTGGGCATGTGCCAGCAGCAATGTGGTTGGTTTCATTAGGTGTTTCATCACTATTCCTACTATTGCTTGCAGGAAGCAACGCCCAACTACATATCTTCGAATTTGTCCCACTGGCAACCCTAGGGAGACGTTTTTTTTCCACTGCCCCTATTGAAAAAGCTCAACTAGACACCGAGCTGCTGGTTCCGGCTTTTTCTGGGTTCCCGGTCTCCGCGGGCTCGGCTCGACAGCTGTTTGGATCCCAAAGCTTCGGTCCCAAGCACTTGGCTGCCGCATGCGTGTAGGTTCAAATGGCGAAAAGCATGGCGGTTGCTGGATTTTACAATGTCAGCCCTTGATAGGCCTGTGCCTGCAAACATGTCGAGCATTCATGGCTCTTGTTGGGAAGCATTTTTACATGTTTGCTTCTTGTGGTTTAGTGGTTGAAATCCGACCACGTAACTGCTAAAAAAAATGCTTGTTGTCCCCTTCAAACGTCAACCAAGAAAGGGCCCCCATAACGTCTACCTCTGATGAATAAACTACCCCCCCTTCAAAAAAACAACAACAACTTCCCTCCCCAAATAGTTCTCGCTGCGACCTCACAAGGGTGTGGAATGAAGTCATATGCAGCCTCTTTGTATTGGAACCGGCGCGGCATGCCCGAACCTCGTCTCACACGATCATTTGGCGACTTGATCTTGCGTTGTGTGATCAGTCGGTCATCCAATGTTGGCGATTAGGGGTTGGACAGGAGTGCTTGCAAGGTTCCATTGGTTGGTAGGACAGGACCGTAGCAAGCAAATGTTTCGCCAGGCCAGGGTGGCAGCCTTCATTGGCAGTGCCATCGATAAGCTTGATTTTTCCAGGTGTTTGTTTTGCCGTGAAAGAAATCAGATGTTGGAACACACACACAGACACAGACACGTAGCTTCACGCAAGTATTCTTAGGAATGCCCCCCCAATTTGCAGGTCTGTTCGCTTGGCCGGGGCCTTGTGACTTTGGACAGAGTTGGCTGAATGGTTCTTTGTTTTGGTAGTTCGTGTAAAGAAGCCCCTGTGAATCAACGCCAGATTGCAAACGCATGCCCGTCGGGCAAGAGAGTGTTTGTCATGTCCTCCACGGGGCCGCAACGACCAAGTTTCGCCTCGGCGCCAAAGCTGCGCCTGGCCGTCCAAGCGGCCAGCCTCCGCCCGGCAACCGCGATCAGCTGGGGTTGCCTCTAATGGCAATGCCTGAAGCTCATAAGGCAACAAGAAGGCATGCTCCCAGCAAATGGTCTCTATTTTCCGATTGACATGTCCAAGCATGTTTTGAATCCAAGCATGCATTGTTGCCTGCCCACTGTGAGACTCTGGGGGCGGACAAGGGAAGCATTGACCGAATTGCTGATTTGCAAACATTTGGAACGAGAGCACGACAACGTATCCAACAGAAAATATGAGGTTTTGGCCTTTTGCTTTGGGCGCTTGGCTGGCAGCGCAGCTGCCCGGCCCGGTTTCAAAATCAAAATGGGCTGCGCGTTGGAGTCGGTTGGAAAGCTGAGCAGGCTTGAGCATGGGAGAACTGGGAATCTGAATACCTGCTGAACAACTGCCATGATTGAAACACTGAAGGTGTTCGGAAAGCAAAATGCGATGGGCTCCGCACAGGACTGATTGTTTTCACTAGGCACCCTGCACGGCTGATGTGCAGGAAATGCATGCATGGCGGTTTGCACCTACCCACAATTGGCAAACATCAAGCGATGCTACTTGCAAGTATCGTTTTCTGCGAGTGGTTGCCTGTTTGGAGTTTGGTCATGTTTTGACGAACTCATCTTAGGCCTCGTCAAATGCTTGCGTGATGTTGATCCCTTGTGTAGTCTGCAATTTCGTGCGTAGATCGAAATGCTGAGTGTTCAACACAGCCGCTGAATAGTGTGTTGCCTTGTTTTGCATATAGCAAGGTCTAAGCAACCAAGTCGACGATGGTACAGTGTGTGTTTAGCGATTTGTATTTCATGTTGGTGGGCCGGGTTGGCAGGATTGGAAGACTTGGAATGTGGATGGCTTGACGCTTTGCGTTTACAAAAATTTGGTTGGACAGATTAAGTTAGTCAACCCCTGTCAGAAGTGTTTTGGATGGTTGAAGCACTTGGAGGTTTCCAATTTCCAAGCGGCTAGCATCGGGACAGCTAGAGTTGGAGCAAACGCATTTTTTTCCTTTTAGTGTGTCCTGGCTCTTGCCAACTTGTGGTTTTAAAACATCTATGGTGACGGATCAAAAGCGCTTTCACCTGAAATTGAATCTGAGAGGAGCTCTTTTACATATCCTGGTCCAGGGAGCTGTTGTGACGATTCACGTTGGCGAGAAAGAACCGTTTTACTGGTGCTTTTGGAATGCTACTTTTCAAAGGTCCACCATTTCTTGACTAAAGCGCAGAGGGCTGTAGCTCTCACGAATTACCTTGGGACAACAGCGTGTGTCAAAAACCAAAACTCCAACTGTAGTTGGACAGCTTTCTGTGTCAAAAGCCAAAACTCCATTTGTGGTTTGCCTGTTTGTTTCCCTACAGCTGACAGGGTCTAAACATATGGCCATGAATTTTAATAGGTTCCCCCTTGAAAAGTGATTGGTGGACATAACCCCCCACC